TATATATATCAGTATTCAATCATAAAAACGTAAACAAATGTTTCGGGAAAGGGAAAATAACCTCATGGGTTATTCGGGGCTAAGTTCATCTTGGGACCGGCTATGGGATTCTCAATGATCACATCATTGTTAGGTCATCTGATAGTTGGAACCACTCGGGATATGGAGTGTGTAGGGAGTGGACAAAGGGAGCTTAAGGGCCTGCACAAATTGTTTTTGGGCACACAAAGGGGGTGGTGCAGCCTAATTCCTACCGCTTCCGCTGTGGCTAGCATACGACAGCGAACCTGCCTTGATAAAAAACAAAAGTGACCCAGCTCGAATACAGTGAGGAAATAACATCTAAAATGAGTGGAATATTTGTTACGGGGTATACTCAGAAGATTGACCTCTTTCCCATATTCAAACTGACTGTTTACTGTTCAATCAATTCATGATTTTCTATTCAGAAATGTGTACCATTAGCGTCTGTAGATGACTATATGTTCGTCCGCTTCTGTTGTTACCAAACCGATTGATGCACTCATTATGACCTTTGGTGGTCAAACTAAGTTCAACACGCGATGCCATAACGTGATTCATAAACCATACCTTATTCAGCTTAAGATGTGATGTCGCTACGTGGATGGTACAATAGTCCGATTACTCCATCGTTTCACATTGTTTTGTTGTTATGTGCACTCCAAACGTGTGGTGAAAGCACTTCTGCTGTAAAGTCGAAGTTCACTAGGTCTGATAAAGACTTGCGGTTGTACACAAGATGTGGTTTCTCGCTCGGGTTAGATGGGCAAGCCCCAGGTCTCTTGTTGCGATGACCTATCCGATCGATCGATAAATGAACCCGATCGGTCGTGTGATTTTCGGTCTGACATGGGAGCAGGATAAGTTCTGAATCGGATATGCTTTAGTGTTGGTAGAGAATCACCATAGGAGAATCAGTTGTGGAGAGATACACCATTTGGGATGTTCGGAATGGGGAAAGTTCAGGCGATGATGACACTGGGCCAACGTTTGACTCGTCTAGGATACACGCCCTATTTTTTAAGCGGGTTCCCGCGCAAATTTTCCGTTAGGCGTGAGACGCGAGTTTACTTGGAAGAAATTCACTCCTGTTCAGCCAACCGAGGGCCACAGACGCCAGCCTACAGGAATTACGGCAACGCTCAAGCAATTAACGATTCATAAACTAAAAGTGCATCTCATAAACTGTCCTTAGACTGGAGTTGCGATGACCTTTGGCACGTGACCTATCTAATTTCATCGGCGCTCTAGGACAAGTAAGAGTATCGTTCATTCATTCACACAGGTGCGTCTGCGCGACGGTGGTTATCGATCGCTCGGATCTGACATCTCACTCCACTCACAAGCTTACCGGTCAATCGTCGTCCACCCGTTTGCACGATAGTTCGACACAGCCCATCGATAGACCGAATGACCGTGGCTTTGATGACCACTGTAGCAAAAGGGACCACATTCGAGTGCCCCACAGAATTTCAAAAAGAACCTTTGCAGATTACAAAGATGTATTTTTAGTAAAATCATAAATCGTCGTTTGTCTCACATTTTCTCCCCTTTGTAAATCATCAAACGCGCTGTTCAAATCAATTGTATACTCCAATAATCGACCCGAACTCCGAGCATTAGCCAAGGCAAACAGCTTCAATTGATCCAACAACTTCTGCGCCTCTCTGGTTGAGATAACTTCCGGCGCACTCACTGCTTCGTATTCATCTTCTTTGCGATGTTTGGCTTGATTCGAAACGAATTCACTTATAGACTAAAAAAGAGACTAGATGCACAAATTCTAAATTCTTCATCCCAGATTTCAAACAGGCGATTTCTTCCTCAAAAAGACGGTCACTAATTGACACAACACAAGTAAAGTCCTCGATCAAATCGCATTTATCCTCTGGTGGTTGCATCACCGACTGAATCAATGTGAATTTGAACCCAGCTTTCATGAAAGCGTTGATCAGTACGTGCGAGTACGCAGAAACCCAAGCTTTCTTGACCAGATACATAGCCATGAGAATGTCCACCTCGGCTTTCATGATAAGTTGCTCATCTTCGATCAAAGAAAAAAAATATTTCAATAAATGCTTCCGAAACGAACACTTGAAAGACCAAATCATGCCCTGATCCATTAGTTGTAACACTGAAGAGCAGTTCGTAGGCAGCCATACCAATTTGACGTTGGAGGACACTGCGGCTTTGTTACAACAAGGGGCGTTATCTATAAGTAGTAAACTAGAGCGCCTTTGAGAAACCATTTTGCGGTTGGCATCGGACAGCCAACTGTGAGACAACATAGAAGTCATCCATACGTTCTTTGAAGAACTATAACTACACGTAAGGCTTTTCCTATCTATACCTCGGAGGTATCGTGGAGCTTGAAACTTTCCAATCACCAAAGGTGATAACTTTTCTCCGGTCATGTTCCCACAAAGCAATGAAGTGACCCTCTCTTTGGAACTCTTGAACTCAGAAACTATCTTTCCATTCAGACTGAATATTCTTTATGGGAGGTGTTGTGCTGTTTAACGCATTTGTTCGATAACATTTGTATTCATTGCCTCCTTGAACGCGCAACTCAATACTCGATACACACACAGACGTACAGACATACACGCATGTGACATGGACGTTCCTCACATGCAACCTTGATTACATTGACCAATCAGACTGCACCACGTGTATACTTGGTATTGATTGGATGACTGCAGATTGTTGTTACGGCCAGTACCGGCTGAGGACATGCCTCTGCTAATTTACATGAATCACGTTGCTACCGTTCTCTGCTAATTAAAAAGGATTTACTTACGTGTATATTACGAGTTCTACTGGATACAACAGGAGGTACCTGTAATACAAAGCTGTTTCATCTACATTGAAAAGATCACATTTAGCATATCCTTGTATCAACTGCAGTAACCCCGCTCGAAACTCATCCACTGTGGTACCGCTAAGCTTTCCTCACAGACCTATAAAGTAATACACATGAGTTGCTTGTATCTCATTTTGTAAGATTGAATACCATATCTGTTTAACCATGAGCGAAACCAACCTTTGGAAGCCTTGAAGTCCATATGATGCAATCTAGCTGGATTGCCTTCCTACTTACGATGCTCTCCGCCATTGGGAACTCCCCGTGCCCTTCCCTCATAGCAGCAAACCAAGCCAAAGTTGCCTCATTCACTGCCTTGACCTTTTCTTTGGCTTTTAGGTGGCACCTTTCCTCAGATGCTCTAGCATTTGAAAATCCCCCGATAGTCGTTCAAAGGGGTAAAACATAGTAGAAAGTTTTTCATGCAATTCCAAGTGATTTGGCTACGGAGCTCTGAGTTGCACCTGGCTGTTTCAGCATTTCCAACACATTCTGCTTTTTTGTGATCGATAGGCGCTTGCATATTTTGACGTCAACTGACACCGTTTTCGATCACTTACATCGGTGTGACATCCTCGCAAGGATTATCCAATCAGTGGACAGTGCCATGAACGCGTCACACGAGGTGCAACGCCATTGGTTGAGTGTGACATTTCAGGGTGGCCGTCCAATGGTCGGTCAACGATCAAGTGAGTAGGTATCAGGATCTGCGACATATTGAGAGGTGCGAGTCAGAAACTACGTTATTAAGCATACTGTTGGTTTTTTGGTTTTCGAAAAGGTGGGAAGATATTGGAAAGTGCTACTACTCAAGGGTGCGACATATTAGGAGATTGACTATATATAGTGTGACTGCTCCACCATCTCACATCGTCATATCCCTCTCACCCGTGACCTTAAGCAATTGAATTCCCTCTGACCCAAGACGATCTGAGACAATGGATTCATTGCACTGCATATATGTTTCGGTTTTTACAATCAGCAAACGTAATTGCTGCAATTGTAGGGTCTTCACGAAATAACACGGGACCTTCAATCAACTAGTGCTTCCCTCCAGATCAATCAGGACATTGTCGAGCGCCAGCTCTAATTTTTGTATATTCATTACAAAAACATCTTCAGTTATTGCCAAAATTCTTCCAAGATTTTGTTCAGTAGGCTTCACTAAACACCGAGCTTACACGAGTACTCACCTGATAAGATTTTCTCCCATTTGAAATCATGTAACGTGCGTGGCTTGTTATCGGTTTTCACATTGAACACTTCATTTGACACGGCATTGCTCATTGAGTACAACGCTGAAAAGACCCACATTTGGGGTAACTAAGGCAACTGCTTGACATGAGTTGCTATGAATTCTAACGAAATATTTCTTTCGTTCCGCTGATCTCCTACTGCCCCACCAAACAAACCTCAAACCCATCTTCCCTACCGTCTCCGCTGACATTGATTTTTGGATATTCAAACGAGAGGTTCTTTTATCATATGGCATAATGTATCGATTACTGCAGAACACAAAATGGCATTGGGAATGGTCTATCGAAATCTCCCAAAATTGAGATGGAGATTCTTGTCACAGAAGTTGCGGTTGAATGTAATTAAATAATATGCATCAAAGAATATTACTGACTGAAGCCGCATTACCAATCGTGTTTCATGGTCTTTTTGGTACATGGTTCCTGTTTGAACTAGGTGAGTTGTAATTGGTCCGGAACACCGACTTTTCATTGGTCGTTCCGAATGCGTATCGGGTTGCGCTTTGGTTAGTATTGTCACGGAGCTATCCTTGGGCTTTGGATCACCACACGTGGATCCCGAAATGCAGTAATGTTCTGCTTGCTATGTCTCGACTGGAGTCCTCTATTTGGAGCAACTCAACTACTAAACGGATGTATTGATGAGCACTGCTTGTTTGTTTAAAGCGCCTGAAAAACTGGTATCAAGTTATTACTCTACGTTTTCTCTGATTCTTGTTTTTCGTTGGATGCCAAACTGCGTGAACAACCTTTCAGGGAGGTAGTAAAAGCAAATTCAAATGGTACATTGGGTAGTAAAGACCTGAGAAATTAGGCAGGGGGCGGTGGTGTGATTCGAACAGATCAAAGCTAGATCACCATCGCCTTCAACTCTTTCAGTTTCTATGCTTTTCACCTATAAGAGTTTGCACTGTTTCACATACTGTCAAACAGGATGCATTTTTCTTTTAATAGCAGCAACAGTTGCTAGTTTAGCATTTAAAAAATATATGTGTTGGTGTGGTAATCGGAATAGTATTGAATGTAGAAATACCAGAACCCGTAATGTACTACTCAGAACTAGATTGGCTCCAACCCGAACTGCGGACACCAACGAAAAACGCAAGGATCTGATAGCAGTAAATGCTTATGTTTATTGATGGAATTAGATCATGTTTTACGGACGGTAATGGTCCATGTCATTGGTTGAACGAGCATCCTCCAATCACGTAACCGTTTGCACCGACGTATCATATGTGCTAACTCGGATGTCATGTTCGTCCGGTGTACCATTGGTCGAGCTTCTTGGACGGTGATTGGATGACATTAAACTGTACCTGGTCGTGCATGGATTGCGGTCACGGAAGTCTGGATCACCACAGTTAGATAGACGGTGCAGAATTCCCAATGGAGAAACAAATGGCTAATGTTTATGGAACCCACTTAAATTAATCAGTTCAGTCAACTTGCTGAAAACAGACTTATACGGACCAATCACAAAACGTTATTGAAACAAGCGGTCGTAACCCCCAACATGATCACAGATGTAGGAAGTTATTCAGTGCGATTAACCCTGCCTAGGGGTCTCGTGTAGATGTCATAAACTGATAAATCTCCTAGTCAGGATCCTTCATCTCACTTGACTTTCGTATAATATGCATTTACAACCAAGTTGCCAAGGTTCACAATCTCACCGACCCAAATGTTGTGAGGAGACATTCTAAAATATCACTTGAACGGTGAAAATGTTTATGATAACCGACAAAAGCACTAGACAGCTATTTCATCCTGTTTGAGGCTCGTCAGTAGTGTCCCTGTCGGGACTCGGACCGCGAACATTTGAGTCTGGACTTCAAACCCTTACCCCGAGCTACATGGTCGATGGTTATCACCTTGTGCGAATGGTTTAATCAACTGAGATGGTCAATGTTTGGATTAGCCCATTAGGTTTCTTTCACAGGCACCAGACACGGTTGATTATGTGAATGTGACCGTGTAGTTCAGTGGTAGGGGTTTGAAGTCCCGAACCAAATGTTCGCGATCGAGTCCTGACAGGGACACAAAATTGCGCACTGCTGACAAACAGGACGAAACAGCTGTCCAGTGCTCTTTGTCGGTC